CAGTACAGTACAGTATTATATAGTACAGTACAGTATAGCACAGTAAGTTTTACACAGTACAGTAAAGTAACAATGGGGTACCGTGCAGTACAAACATACCTCAGTATCTCGCAAGAATTCCATCAAAGTTTTGTCACATTTTGGCGAAAGAAGTTTATCTGGGTCTTTGTCCATAGACAGCTAATTACAAGCATACACTTCGACTTAAAAGTCAAATTTATTTCAAATTAGGTGATGGTGAATGGTGATGGACCAAAACTCTGTAGAGTAAAAGAAGTAGATGTTAGTTCCACATTTATTAAAAATATATTTCGGTCTGGGTTGACCCTCGTCAGTTCTTGAGATTGTTTCTGTCACAAAGATTAAAAAACAAAACTCAAATTTATTTCATCCTTTTTTTTAGAAAAAAATGAAACTAATAATAAAAAAAAAAAATGGGGGAAAATTTCTATACATTGACAGTGTATGGTTTCCTGCATGAGACAATGAATAGTTTTCCCGCTCTTTCCCGCGTTAGGACAGTACTGACTAAAAATAATTCTCAATCAATCAATCAATCAAATCTCTTTTACGCCATTCTTTTAAATAACTTTGCTTAGATTCCGGATAAATATACCATTAAACAAATAATTTGAATAATCAGAAATAATAATAAGAAAGAGTGTACGAGCTATTCATATTTTTGTTTTTAAAATTTTACTCTTTTCAACGACGATATTTTACGAATTATGGATCAATCTTAAAGGTTTACAAGGTACTGTTGTGAATCGGGTACGGCCCTCTTTAAATGGAGATTCACTTGGAATTACAATAACAGTCCTTTAAGTACTCCTTTTATGAAATCCTGACCTAGGATCTCGAAATGTTTAAGTTACAGCAAAGCAATCATCAATTATGCAATGAAATTTGAATGAAAAGACGACCTACCTAACATCGTAGAAGCAATCCTTAACCAGCTCGGGACTAACAGAGAAGTCCTCCATCAGCGCTCGTCTATACTCCGACATCTCACGGGAGCATGAACCTTAATAATGCAAAATCAAACATCGTCTTCCTTGACAAGGAAGAAATACGCCAACAAGATAACGTTAATCCTCAACCAAATATTTTCTTTTCTTAAAATTTTTAATTTCTTGTGTCTAAGGATCAAGTAAAGAGATTCTGAAACTCCCCCAAAAGTAAGGAAGGACGACATTCTTAAAAATAGACGCATTTTTTCACCTGAAATGGTTGAACCCTGTAACCTTGCATCCTCGAGACAAACAAGGATTTGGTTCAATCCAACATTCATATTCTTGTCCAAATCTTTCCTAAACATTTTACTATTATATATCAATCAGCGTCCTGATTCTACCCTCAATATATATATGGAAAATTGGAAACTTTAACGAGAGTCAGCATTTTTGTGTGTAATACCTCAATCAACCCTGGAACTCGATATCCAATGGAATTGAGTCGATGTCGTAGAGCTTTAATATTTCCAACTACGAATTCTGTTAGATAAAATAGTCTAAGTTTGAACAATCCAGGGTTTACCACATCATGTTGCTAAGATATAGGGATTAGCAAATTTGAGCTTGTGGCAAAAACTTGACCCCTGCATTTAGTTATTCCTTCGGAGTATGACCTCCATGAGATATCCGTACTCCGTAGGTCTACACAAGATGGAGATCAATGCTTGATTCAAAGATTCAGAACACAAAACGCTCTGAACTCAATTCATACATGTTTAGATTTCTTATGATTGTGATCGTTTCTTTTCTTACCGTATAAATGTAAAAACATAAACCGAGTTTTTACTATTAAATCCTGGTTTAAAATTGTAAAACAGTATTCAAGAAACCAAGTGATAAAGGAAAAGTAATATGATCTTTCACAAAGTGTAAAATTTCGAAAATTTTTTTAAATAGGTAACTTTGCGAATTGCCCCCCCCCCTCAAATACAATTTCCAAGGAGCGCCTCTGTGCTTTGGAGCCCTTTAATTATTTTCTTTCGGATACTATTCAAAACCTGGATTTTACAAAACTCTCACCTGCATCTGTTTTCCTTGATATCTACTTTGCAAGCTTTTATCAGTGTGTTGGAGACTCTAAAAAAAAAAAATTCTAATGATAAATCTTGTTTACATTATACAAGCGACTCTTGTGCAGATGTACGGTTTTTTACCATGGAAAATGGGGTTTAAAGATACTCTTAAAACCTTGACAATTTTTTGTAAATAAATACAAAGAGGCTTATAAATACGTTGTTTCTTTAAATCACGAATTTAATTTGTTCAACTGGAGGCACTAATTTCTGAATTGCTAAATTGTTTACTTGTAGTCGACGTTGACAAGCTTCTGTCGTCTTGAAACCTCCTTCCTGCACTCTGTAGACATCTCGTCGTTCATCTTGTTCACCATCAAGCAGTCGTAGATCTGGTCCGAACTAGGCACCTCCAGTAGGCTGCTGCAGAACCTAAAGATAGATAGATTGATAGATAATGAAAAGATGGATGGATAGATAGATAGGTGGATAGACAGATGGATAAATGTATTGATTCATAGATGTATAGATGTATAGATGGACAGATGGATAGATGGATATATAGACACAGACACAAAAACTGATCAATAGATTAGATAGATACATACTTGGAATAAAATAAAATAAAATTATAAAAATAGAGATAAATAAGAAAAAAAGACAATAAATTTGTGTGTAGGATTTGTTAATATTATTTCATGTTTGAGGTCCATTACACATACAGTATAGACAATAGACATATAGATAGACAAGAAGATAGACAGATAAACAATGGAATAGATAGAAAGACAATCGAGGAAAAGATAGATAAAAACAGGATATATAAAAAGACATGAGGATAGATAGATAGATAAACAAGGAGATATAAAGGCAGCCAGCTGAAAAAAAAATTCATAATTGGATAGGTAATCATGATAAAACATATGAAACAAATTTCAGCTTTCATTTCCATCAAGTTTGGAGAAAATTCCAAAACCGCACTTGGATACAAATGTTATTTGAAAATTAAAAAAAGTACCTTGACATATCTTCTTTACAGGCCATCACCAGGGCTCTGTCTAAAGTTACACTTTCAGCCTAAAACAAAGTTTAAGGAGTGATCCTAAAAAACTTTAAGGTTTTTTTTCAGTTTACAAATCTGTGGGAAAAATTACAATAAGTTGCTTTAATATTTTTACCATTTATCATTGCTACGTCATCATTAAAAAATCAATCTAGATCACCATTAAGGTCTAATTTTTATAATTGCAACTTTTTTTTAAATTATGGTAAGGAAAGCTCAATTCATTGTTCCTGTCTACAATCTAGAAATGTTTTTCACGCCAATTTGGTCTCGACAATGATGTAAATACTACAGTGGCCGAATTTAAAGAATTTGAGCGGCGGTTTAAATTTAAGCCGCGGTTTAAATATGGTTGGTTCCACTTAAAATTGTATCAAATGTTTCAAGATTTAAGCCGGCGCTTAATTTAAACCGGGTTTTGGCTGATTTAAACCGCGGCTCAAATTCATTAAATTCCATCTCAGGAGTAACGAGAGCTTTTGTGTTGGATGCATTATGCCCATAATTCCCAGCACTTGAACCCCACACTAGGCACTTTTCAAATTTACGGAGGATCTGCTTGATCTTTAGATTTTGGATAACCCTACAATCTGTTCTCTCATTGGTTGAACGCAACATTCCTTGGCATCTGATTGGCTGTTCTGCACTTCACGAGATATCGAAGAGTATTGACTGTTAATTGAATTCTAAGGGAGGATACTCCACTCATAAGAAGAAAATGTTTTTTTCTAATAATTCTTTTAAAATATGTTGCACATCTAATTAGAACCAACAACCTAAGGCGCGAATTAAACAAGGAAAGTATTGATTGGTGAGAGATAAAGGGACAAGAATACCCTCAGCGATTTTCCTCCAATCGTTTTTTTTCAAATAATCAATCGTTTTTTCCACAACTAATCAATCGATTTTTTCTCTCGACTAATCAATTTTTTTCTCCAACTAATTAATCGATTTTTTTTCAACTAATCAATCGTTTTTTCAAAAACTGATTAATCATTTTTTTTCAACTAAACAATTGTTTTTTTTCAACTATGCAATCGTTTTTTTACAACTTATCAATCAATTTTTTTCAACTAATCAAATTTTGTCTCCAACTATTAATCGATTTATTTTCAACTGATCAATCGTTTTTATTCTTCAACTAATCAATAGTTTTTATTCTTAAACTAATGAATCGTTTTTTTTCAGCTAATAAATTGTTTTTTTTTTCTATTTATCAATCGTTCTTTCTTTTTCAATAATCAATCGTTTTTTTCCCAACTAATCAATCGTTTTTTTCAACTAAACAATCGTTTTTTTCAACTAATCAATCGGTTCCCCAAACTTATTAATCATGTTTTTTCAATAATCAATCGTTTGTTCCAAATAATCAATAGATTTTTTTTCAACCAATGAATCGGGTTTTTCTTCAACTAATCATTACATCGAAGATTTTTTTAATGGGACCCTGGGGGCCTTAAAATACTGACCTGCATCTCAGCAATCTGTAGAATCTGTTGTTTACATTCATCTCCAACCTCGGTAACCTTCTCCTCGAGGCAGGCAAATTTTTTTCTCCAACTAATTAATCGATTTTTTTTTTCAACTGATCCATCGTTTTTGTTCTTCAACTAATCAATCGTTTTTATTCTTAAACTAATGAATCGTTTTTTTCAGCTAATCAACCTTTTTTTCTACTTATCAATCAATTGTTTCAACTAATCAAATTTTTTCTCCAACTTATTAATCGATTTATTTTCAACTAATTAATCGTTTTTATTCTTCCACCAATCAATCGTTTTTATTCTTCAACTAATCAATCGTTTTTTTTCCACTAATCAATCGGTTTTCCCCCCCAACTTATCAATAATCAATCGTTTGTTTCAAATAATCAGTCAATATTTTTCTCAACCAATCAATCGGTTTTTTCTTCAACTAATCATTACATCGAAGATTTTTTAAAGGAACCCTGGGGGGCCTTAAAATACTGACCTGCATCTCAGCAATCTGTAGAATCTGTTGTTTACATTCATCTCCAACCTCGGTAACCTTCTCCTCGAGGCAGGCGATAGTTCGACCCTAACAACATAAAACAATATTTTTAAAGGGAATATTCGCAATTTAAATTTTTTCAAAGATGTTGATTTATCTTTTCCTAAGACGACATACAATTTTTTTCGCTTGAAGACTGAAAAGTTCTTTAATTAAAAAATAACAGCCTTTTTTAAAGGAATTCACTATTGTATTTTTCACATAAATTGAAATTGGCCGACGGAAATGGGATCCAATGCTTAAAGAATAAGTATCAGAGAATTAGAGTTTGAAGAAATATTAAAGTGTAATAAAGCGTCTGGCCATATATGCTATTAAAACCGACATGACCATTCCAAAATATACAATTGAAAGAAGTAAAGTTAAAAAAACTATTTCCGATTAAAACTCAACAACAAAAATATTTAATGGTATATTACTTTGTTCGAAGTGTATCTCTAAACCGAGTTATTTTCAGTCAATATTTGTGATTTTACTTTGAGCGATTTGTCTGTAGCAAATCTGCAATAACCAAAAATAAGCTAAAATCTAAACTAGGAACCGGATTTAATGAATTTGAACTGGATCTAGGGACAGTTTAACAACGTATTTAAATCGGTGATTCAGGATTTGTCTATGTCCTATTGATCCAAGGCGGTAGGTAGTTTAGCGACCTAGCTCAAATTCATAAAATCCGGTCCCAGAAACCTGAGAATGAGGATCATTTTCTGATTTACCAGTTCGCCCACAATTCAGTTTATCCACATCAGCCTTAAACATTATGACAATTAAAAAACATTTTTATAAATTAAAAGTATTAAATTCATAATGAAGGTGTGCGTTGTATTTACAACCATAATTGGACATTAGACAAATCTATGTATATAAAGTAATAATCTCTGTTTGTTTGTATGCTTATCATAACTCAGGAACCCCTTGACCGATTTGCCTCAAAGTTTGATTGGGGAACTCGGGAGAACCATGGGAATGTTCTTAGCTTGGTTTTGAGATGGGTGGGTCGACCTTTATCGGAAAAAACACAGGCAAAGCTGGGTTCCCAAACTAGTTATTTTTTATATAAATTTGTATTTTCTCTCTGGACACTCGCTAATGCTTGTTCATGATGTTATCACAAGTTCTAAAACATTAGGAAAACATCCTTTATATCAAGTAAATTTTTATAAACAATGAAGATGGAAGAATTCTTACATGATCAAATAATTTCAAACAAAATCAAAATGTGAATGATTATATGCTTACTTAAAACATAATCATTTTGTGAAGACAATAGGTGAATTCTAGAAAAATTACCAAACAATAGTTTACATTAGTTTATCGTTTTTTTATAACTAATTCAAAGGGATTGAAGACATATTTTATACTGGAATGTCCGATTCACAACAGTATCCTTGAAAGCTGTGTCTGATTTGCGGATTTCTTTTACAGAAACAAGAAAGGAAGTGTTCAGAATCAAACAGTTTTCATGCTGGGAAAATGACGATATTTTTCACAATTTTGATCATATAGCGGTTTAAAGGATACAACTGTGAAGCGGACATGTCCGTCCTACTTTATAACACGTATATTAAAACAAGACTTAGGTTCAGAATTATACATTTACCATGCTTAAAATTAGTTTTTAAATCCAAATAATTAGAAAACTTCATCAACTTGAGTTTTGTAAAGACAAGTTACCTTGAACTTCAATAATAAATACAAAACTTATCAAGAAAAAAAATCATCTTTAAAAATATTCCTGAGCTGAAAACTTTAGAATGTGATATCCTTAATCCCGATCTGTTAATTAATCAGAGCTGGGAACTTTAGAATGGATAAACTTTAATCCAGACTTCTTGATCCGAATATCTACTGTGGAAAGTTTTCATTTTTGTCCATAATCCACTCTTTTTCTCTCTCCTTGGATATCCGTTAATTGTTTTCTCCAATGAGAATATTTCTGTTCTCTCATTGGTTGCCCGCTTTTCTCTGATTGGCTGCTACAGTTTCTCAGATGATTAAATATTAATTTGAATTTTATCGTTTTTCATACAATTTTAAGATAATCTTGAAAGATTATGTTAATCTTGAGATTATCAAAAAGAGAGGATCAAGCATTAATCCCGATATCCACCATTCTAAAGTTTTCAGCTCTGTAGATTAAATTCATGAGGAGAACAAGCAATATTTAATCTGGAGATTAAGAAAAAGAGTGGATCAAGCATTAATCCCGATATCCACCATTCAAAAGTTCCCAGCTCAGAGAAACTTTTTCCACCTTCTTTAACTTAATACCTGACAAGCGTTCATGAAGTTTGAAACAAGCCTGAAATCTCCGAAAATTAAGGTTTCAACCCTTTCAAGAAACTTCCTGCAACCTAAACAAAAAGAAAGGTTTTAATATTAGTTGATATTCAATCTGTTACAGGTTAATGTTCTAAAACAATAAATATTTTTTTCAATGTAAATAGTCATTGGATCTTCAAAAATAGCTCTTTCTACTGGTATTTTACCGATGTTTTTTTTTTTTAAAGATCGTCATGCCGCGACGGTTTAAAAGGTACTGTTCTCAATTGATGGGACTATTTGAAATTACAACAAAACTCCTATAATTTGAGGGTCACTTGAAATTACGTTAACGGTCCCATTAAGAATGAGAAAACTGTTTACCGATATTCTTTGTATTATGTTTGTTCTCGACCAGACAAGACAGGAAGTGTCCAGGAGCAGAGTTCCGGTCTTGTTCACATAGTCTATAGGTGAGTCAATCAACCAATCATACATAAACCAATCTTGCACCACACAATCATACATCTATTAGTCAATCAATCAATTAATCATATAACCAATCAATCAATCATTTATTCATATAATCAATCAATCAATCAAACAAGAAGTTTTTTATTATCTGTAAATATGTCATTCCAAGAAAACCTAAATCGATATAAATTTTCTTGATTGATTCAGTGAGTTCCTTAATTGATTTATCTCCTCTTTACACGTTTTCTCTGCATGTTCTATAAATCCTCCCTAAGCAACAAATCAGATCGAATAATTGATTTTGATGATAATATAAATAATACTACTAATACAAATAATAATAATACTTTCAACTAAAAGAATAATAATAACATGACATCCTGATCTCACTTCTCTAGCTTTTTAACTAAAAGAATAATAATAACATGAAGTCCTGATCTCACTTCTCAAGCTTGATGTAACTTTACGAAATGAAGAATAAAACAAGGCCTTATTAGATTGTAATTAATGACAGCAATACTTTTTTTAAAATTTTTTTTATTAAATAAGGATGTAACGTTTACAAATCTTGTAAAAAGTGATCTGTCAATGGTTTAAATGTAACTTCTAATTACTTGAATAATTTTAAACCATCTTGGAAGTTCCCAACTTTGCCTGGCAACTAAACTTTCGCTACATTGTCAACCATCTCAAAACAGAACTAAGCTACAGGCTACAGGCTACAGGCTACAACACAGGCTACAGGCTACAGGCTACAGGCTACAGGCTAAAATCATTCCCAAGGTTTTACAAAAATACCTTTTCAAAATTTGAGAAAAGAAATATGAAAATTTATAAATGATAAATGAGTAGTTTTAAACAAGTTAAATCTGATTTTCCTGTGTGATTTGAAGTTTGAATCTCCAAAGATAATGATCACATTGTTCTGAGAGTTTAGTTTGACCCGGGGGGTTCTGCAGACACTCCAGGACTAACCAGTTGTTCCCTTCGTTCCCCTAAGTGCATAGCAGGGAGTAAGGAAAAGAAGGGAGATATAACTGACACGGTTCGCCCTACCATATGATTATACATGCTTTGCAGACGGTACTCCATTTGTATAAGAAATATTATGAATAAATTATTTTATGAGCGGTTATTGTACATCAGACACGTATTTCTTATTCAAATGGAGTACCGTCTGCAAAGCATGTATAATCATATGGTAGGGCGAAGTGCGTCAGTTGGTTCTCCCTTCTATTCCTTACTCCCTGGTGCAGAGATACAAACTCAGTTCTAAAGGGACTGTAGTTGTAATTACATGCGATTCTTCAATACTAAAGTTCCCTGTTCGATTAACGACGTTATATCCAAACAAGCTGTGCATATTCAAAAAAGATTGAAATATCCACGTTTTTTACTCTAAAAACTCGCTGGATTCTCTATAAAATTGACTTGCGAATTTATGATACAGAAACAATGGAGGACATTATTAAAATTAAGCGCTTTTTCAATTTAGAAACCGACGATAGCTTCCACATTATTGATGACGACATGAAGTCATAAAGGGTATCGTTGTGAATCGGACTTGCAACAATTACAACGACAGTCCAATTTAACAAACAAAAATTTTTACTTACATTTAAATTTACATACAATCATCTGTTAAACATCTTCAAAATTATTTACACGAATAAACATTAAATCTGCCTTTTATTATTAACAGAAGAAACATAAAGAACCTTTAAACGCATATTTCTAATGAAAGTATTGTTAGATGTCCTGAAGGTTCTCAAATAAGAGAGCATTTCTTTCCAAATAATTTTCAGCTCTGCGAACCAGAACAATTGTGTTTTAAATAATTATTATTAAAATAAATCTTTTCATTATAACATATATTTTATGAAAATAAAATCTCTTTCAGTACAACATACCTTTAAATGATCGCTGAACTTGCAATGATCTTTGATCGCTAGAAAATCTTGTCTACACTCTACACTGTCAGCGAGAAGATCATCAGTAATATCACAGTTAGCTGTTCCCATGAAATAAACCAGGGGAAGGAATATAAAATGGTTCATGTCTGTTTACTGTATTGGCTACTCTCTATATATGTAATTTGATCTGAAATATGATATTAGTAAAATATTGTTTTCTAATTAAGTAAAAGTCCAAATTGACAATTTCAATAAATGTTTAACAAAGTGTAAATTGGAGGGTTAACAATAACAAAGGTTCTACTGACAGGTGGTGTAAAGAAAATTAAAATATTTCACAATCCAAAAAGTAAACTTTATGTCATTAGTGCGTTTACTTTTGAATTTATTACTTTCCACGCCATTGAATAAGAAGCACCGCACAACAATGGGTAATTTCCAAATGTACGCTTGAGGACCCCCCCCCCCAGGGGCGTATATCATCCTCACCCCTCTTTGGATATTCATTTTTAGTATGTCTGTTTACGCCCGGCCCCCCTTTTCTGTCCTTGCCGCAGTACTCAGCCCACAAATTGTCTTAACCTTGCCTTACCCTAAAAAATACAAAATTTATTTTGTATTTTTAACTTTGTTATAAAAAGTAAATAATCGAGGTCATGTATAAAATTGATAAGAAGTGGGTTTAGAGTGCCAGGGGTCCAAAAAACGTTCTCAGGACAGACCCCATTAATCAATATTACATTCTTTAAAGTTGGAATTAACAAGAAGCAGTTGTCACGTTTATCCCCAAAAAAGATTACTCTGTAATTGAAAAAATGCTATTAGAATGAGGGGCTGGGGGTCAGGTCCTTAAATTTGACTATCAACATAATATAAACTAATAAACTAAAACTAAAAGAATGCAGGCCTGTAGCTAGGGGGGACAGGGGTATGTGCCCCCCTTTTACCCCCGAAGGGCTGGCACATTTTCGGAGACAATAAAGAAGAAAATGAAAAAATGAAAAGGTAACGAAAATCTAAAATCTAATTTTTGTCTCCAATATTGTGAGCAATTTATTTTTTCATCAAATTAAAGAAAAGTTGAGTGACTTCTGAAATAAATGATTTGAGAATTTTTATTCCTGATATGTCTTTTGAAATGATATACATCATGTTAAATTGTTTGTATTTGAGAAGAATAATATTATCCCTTCTTTCAATAGATTAATGATTCTAATGAACAATAGTACAGAATAAAATAACATGGAGACCAATTTATATTTTATACTAAATATGGCCAGGCTTATCTGTTTGTGCTCATCCTTAAGCTTGCTGAGATTTTTTAAGTTTTGAGAAACTAGATTTAAGTGCTAGAGCTCTTTTATCTTTAAAGGAATTTACATCACTAGGCTTTTAGGGCGCTTCGCGTCCATCTTCTANATTTTTAAGAATTTAAATTTTTTTACAGATTAAAAACCTTTAAAACACATTTTCTTTAATTTTTATCATTCATAAACCTTCCCTGCGGTCACGTGATGTCCCACAAAAAAATTTGGGCCCGGCCGATAAGTTCAGCCGTTTTGACGATTATTGGATACAAACAAACAAACAGACAGACAACCCAAATTTATATATAGTTTGACTATCCCTGTATTAAAAAAAAGTATTGGCTATTCGTGATTAAAAATTATCAGTGTTACATTTATTTATAGTTTAATTTCTATATCTTAAATCTACAGTTTGTTGTTTAATTTTGCTTTGATGCAAATAGCTTCTCAATTATTCAATAGCAGTTAAGGAAAAGAAAAACAGGCAAAATATCTTTCGTTTAATAAACTATAATGTATAACAAGTAAAAAACATGTTTATTAGCCTACATTTATTCATTAATTTTAACCCTTATTGAGTTTTTAGGTCCAAAATATGTTGTTAGTCTGCGGCGCGCTCGCTCATCTATCTATCCTATTTAGAACTTATGTGCCCCCCTCTTTTAGAAATTCCCAGCTACGGGCCTGATTAAGATTGATTGCTAAACGTTTATTTCTATAAAATTAAAGATTAAGAGTTTACTGTTTAGCCATGTAAGCACTTAATAAAAATAATAATATTATAAAAGGTAGCGGCAACCACGCAAGTTTCTGGGCTTCCGATAATTTTTAAATTTTTAACATTTCAACTTAATTTTTTGTTGAAATTTGCAAACTTTTATTGAAAATATTCTTTCTTTGTTTTATTTATTGGTAAATGAATTGAAAAAATCTTGAAATGTTAACGGAATAAATTATCAAATGAAATCTTGCGGGGCATTTTAGAGACCAGCTGGTTGATAAAACAACTTTTCCACATAGTATTAGTGCAACAAAACTTTTTAAAAGATCGACTTGTTAATCCTTGTGAAATATTGTGCGTTGTGCGTTGAAATTATTGAGCTTTAATTTTTAAGTTAGACGTTTCTGCCACCCCCCACTCCTTTATTTTAAATCTTTGATTGAAATTCGAGACTGACGATCCCCAAATAGTTTCCTCTAGAAAATCGTTCAAATACCTCAACCTAAAATGATGTTGTGGCGCCATTTTGGTGTCAGGGCCGCGGCGCTCGGCACTCATCTCTATCCATAGTGCCCCTCCAGAAATATAACAGTAATATGAGTTTGCTCGCAAACGTAAAATGTTCCTGCTGAAACTTGAAATGGTTCATTATTCTGAAGTAAAATGGCATAATTTTTATTATAAATTCTCACGTCACAATAATTAATTCCAGTGGTTTTTATATAGACTCTGCACATGGTACACACACTATGCAATTTGATTAAAATATTGGTATTTTTAGAAATTATGAACTAAGTTCGAAAGAAGATTATGTCAAGATGTCGTTAACTGTTCAACAGCTGCTGTCTGATGCAAGGTATAAAAAGTGTATAAACAATACTTTTTCAATATCTTTAACTTACTCCCCCATCTTTTTAAAACATGTTTGTTCAGGCGTCTGTCCAACAGACTAAAGGATCATGATCAGAGTGCAGATCATCTTATTACAAGGTAAAAAATCATGACCAGAGTGCGGATCATCTTATTAAAATGTAAAGGATCATAGTCAAAGTGCGGATCATCTTATTAACAGGTAAAGGATCATGATCAGAGTTTGGATCATATTATTAAAAGGTAAAGGATCATGATCAGAGTGCGGATCATCTTAATACAAGGTAAAGGATTATGATAAGAGTTCTGATCATCTTATTACAAGGTTAAGGATCATGATCAGAGTGCAGATCATCTTATTAAAAGTTAAAGGATCATAATAAGAGTGTGAATTATATTCTTAAAAGGTAAAGGATCATGATTAGAGTGTGGATCATCTACTTACGAGGTACAGTATCATGATCAGAGTGCGGATCATCTTCTTACTAGGTATAGTATCATGATCAGAGTGCGGATCATCTAATTACAAGGTATAGGAATATTATCAGAGTGCGGATCATCTTATTAAAACTTTAAAGATCATGATCAGAGTGTGGATCATATTATTAAAAGGTAACGGATCCTGATCAGAGTGCAGATAATCTTGTTACAAGGTAAAGGATCATGATCAGAGTGCGGATCATCTGATTACAAGGTAAAGGATCATGATCCGAGTGCAGATCATCTTAATACAAGATAAAGGATCATGATTAATGTGCGGATCATCTGAAGTACTCCAGGTGTTGAATGGATGATGAAGTATCTGTTTATTACTCCAATATTATTGAGGAGCTCCTAAAATACTCCAAGGGTTGAAGGGAATGGAGGAGTACCTGTTAGTATTACTCCGATATGATTAAAGAGTTATTGAAGTACTCCAGGGGTTGAAGGGATGATGGAGTATCTGTTTATTACTCCAATATTATTCAGGAGTTATTGAAGTACTCCAGGGGTTGAAGGGATGCGGGAGTATCTGTTTATTACTTCAATATTATTCAGGAGTTCTGAAGTACTGCAGGAGGTTGAAGGGATGCGGGAGTACCAGGAGAATATAGAAAACTTGAATGAGGTCGCGCATAACCGTCCACGTGCTCATCTTGTACTAGGTAGAGTGAGAAAATCATCACACACAAAAACTACAGAAAAAAAAAAACAATCTGTCTTGTATTATAGAAGTTTTGTTCTACTTCCCCGTTAAAAAACTGCTAATCACAGTTTTACAGAACCACAGAAAAACAGACGCCACTTGAAAAAAACAAGAGGGTCTTTTAAAAATTACGTCTACAATTCCTGCAAATAAAAAATATTTTTTATTTTATTCTGACAGAATTATTTTTGGATTTATTATAAATTTTCTTCATATTATTATATATTTTTTTACTTGTAGGTATTCAGCAGGAAAACCGTCATATTAGAAGTTTACAACAAGAAAATAAGGAAAATTAATCAATAACAATAAAATTACAGAAAAATATGAATCTACGTTTTAATGCGAAATCAATTGCGAATGAGAGAGAAATTTATTTTCTCTAGTTCAGTGATAAAAAATCCTATTAAAATGTTACGGTTATACTAGAGTCTAGTATAACCGTAACATTTTAAAAGGATTTGCTCACTAGTCTGGTAAGTAGACTAGTGAGCAAGAAAAAAGTTAAGTTGCAAGTATTTTGAATTGTCTGAGATAGAAGTCAATCATATTTAAACCGTATATCTGCTTTATTCAGACAATTTATGGTTACAGGCATATACAGTGAATCCCAGATATATGAATACATACACCGTCATAAGTTTTTTGATAATTCTAAATAAACTTCTTATTATTTTGAATTTAAAGTAAATTAATAGCCCTGAAATATGAATGCAATTGAAATATTAATTTTACACTCATTTTTCCGCGGCATTTGATCTTAAATATGTAATACGACATTATAAAAAACTCTTGCTATGTACTTATATATCTGGGATTCATTGTATTAACATCATGTTAATAACAAAGCTGACCCTCCCCCCTCGCTATATACTTTCTTGTTATTTGCAAAACATCTAACCGCGAAAATAGGCATTGGGAAAGGAAATCGTGTTTGTCCCACTGAAAGAAGAACTACATACGTTGTAAACAACATATTGCAACTCAAACAAAAGTAAATTGCACATAACATTAAAATCTTATATGTTTATATGTTTTCAATCATACCTCCTCTTGTTGAAGAACTATTGAGAAGAGCAACCATGTTTCTAATTTCGTATATGTAGATAACTTTGCTTTTTTCCTACTCATCAAAACTAGAGAGCTACGAAGTCACAAAGTCGATCCATTTGAATTGCATAAATGTTACCTTCTCCTTCTGTTTAGTTTTCAGTGAATGTGCAAACGCCAACGCCTGATATATTACAATTACATTCTAGAATAAGTCTTTGCTGATATATACATTGTTTCAAACCTGAGCCCTAAACTTAAGACAGGGGTTTGTTATGAAACCCAGTATCGGACACCGGAGATGGAATTTAAAGAATTTGAGCCGCGGTTTAAATCTGCCAAAACCCGGTTTAAATTAAGCGCCGGCTTAAATCTTTAAACATTTGATACAATTTTAAGTGGAACCAACCATATTTAAGCCGCGGCTTAAATTTAAACCGCCGCTCAAATTCTTTAAATTCGGTCACGGGTTTCACGGAATTGGTGAGGCAATTTGGTATATTTCTCAATATTTTTGTTAAGAAATATTATTCTTTATGGTTGGTTTTCATTTTGAGTTTTTAAATTTCTGAATGTAAATCTACACAAATGTGAAGATTCCAAACAGGAGACTCGAGAGTTTTGTTTAACAATACTCTATTTAATTTCTGACTCTGTACAAGAATGGATAACGTACTTCTTCCCATTTTTGATTAAATTACATATCAGGAGTTAAGAACTGCTCTAGAGGAACATCAATCCGCCCTGGAGTTGATCATGTCTAAATACAGGGCTCACATCACTAGGCATGGGTATTATTATTATTATTATCATCATCGGTATTATCATTTGTATTAATCCCACACTAAATCACAAAAACTTTCCATCTTAAAAATGCATATTGGACCAATGCCCGTGTTTCGGGAAAAAATGATCTAGTTTATGTCCAAAGATAATTTTTTGAGGAATAATTTGAATGAAAAAAACTTCACCCCCTTTTTAAGTATTACCAATATTATAATATTAATAATTACGAAATATTAACAACATTAACAACCTTTATTAATGTCCCAATTTAAAATAAATATACTTTAGGATTTGTATATTTAATTTTTTTTGTTACATTTTCATAATTTTAGTATTTTTATTTTATAGGTTAACAAACAGTGGTGATATGGTTGAATATGGAACAGAAAACAACTCACAGTTTCTGCAAATCCAAACTGAAAAGGTCTTATCATAAAAATTTAATTAAACAAATTTTAAAAAAATCTATTTGAACTTTTCAGGGTCGAAAAATGATTACTTTATCCAAAGCTGTCAAACGAACTGTCACAGTTTTTTTCTCTCTGTTTTTACCAAATCGGGGAAATGATTTTTAAGAGAAGTAAATAAATGTTGGAGAATAAGTTTTAATAGAACAGAAATCGAATTGTTGCCCCCACTCCCCTTCCCAAATCTTGGAAAATATAGTATTTACTAAAATTAGGTTTGCGAGATGGCAGCTGTTATGAAAGAAGCCTTGAAGCTTGACATAGAAAAGGAAGGACAGAATCAGGAGCTAATAGCTCGTCTTTATACTGAGAATAAGGTAAATTATTCAGGGGTACACACTACACAGCACATACATTTTCCTG